TACTGTAGCATTTTTACAGTCTTTTACCGTTAAATTCACGGTCATTTTTTACAACCGCTGGGTCAAAACAACCCAATAGCTGGGTTTGTCCCTTTTTAACCCAGCATTTTTTAGAGTGTAGGATTTTTCAATGTAGGCTACTAATTTTGGCATTTAGGCACTTTAGAAAATTACTTTTAATATATTTGTATGAATTATAGGTTTGTTACATCTTGGGTATTTAAGTCATTTTAAGAAAGATAACAACATTATGTGCAAACAAATTGCAATGAGGTGGTTGTTTTGCAACAAGGTGGACACAGTTCTGTTCATAACAGTAGACCTGGTAAAGAAGTGACAGGTACAAGAAAAAGGGAGAGACAGAGATATTGGAGAAAATTTTAAAAAAAGTGGGGAAGTGAAGGTGCAGTTCAAGAAAGAACCTTTAATTGTTTTCCACGGCCCTGACTAAAGATTTAGACCTTTTTATGTGATGGTCATACAAATAGGCTAGGGTTGTCCGTGTTTCAGAATTTGTTGTGGGTGTATGTGATGGTCCTGGATGAGTGTGAGATTTCCTGGCTTGAAATTTTGTCCCAGTCCGCCCCTGATATATATATATATATGTTTGAAAAGCATTTAATGATGATGATTGAAAGCATTTAAAATAATTGTACACATTTTAAAATAATAACAATTTAATAATTTTTATTTAAAATATTTTATTATTTTTATTTTAAAAAATCTATACATTTTATAAAGTATAAAAAGTAAACAAATATTTTATATTTATTCTTTATAAAAATGTTTAAAAATTAAAGTGTGAAACTATTTAACATAATTACATAAATAGTTGTATTTAATAATATTTTATATTATACAAATACTCATATATTTATATAAAATGCATAGCATGTATATATACAATGTTTATATAAAATTTAATATAAAAACATTATATATTATTTTGTTTTATATATATTATTTGTAAAAATGTTTAAAAAAAATCTAATTTGTAAAATGATTTAACATAATTACTATTGATAATAATAATAATTTGAACATTTTGTATACATTTTTATATTTAGTATTTTTAAAATGTTTAAAACAATTATCATTAATTAATAACTCAAAAATGTTAAATATCAATTATGAATATTCATATTTTAATAATAATATTTTAATGATACTAAATATGATATATATTATAAAAACTAAATTAAAAAATTACAATTATTTAAAGTAATTATAATTTAATAACGACAGTATTTAAAACAGAATTTATAAATACTGTATATCCAAAATATAAAACAAAACATATGTACACAAACAATTTATATTTTACAGGTAAAGATGTGTGTGTTCTCACCTTCACGGTCCTGGGGTGCTTTTTGGACGGGTGGCAGCGCATGTTGCTGGTGTTGCAGCAGCCCGAGCATCGTCTCACCTCCACACACGGAGGCCAGATCAGGAAGTTGGCGGCCGTGGGATCGACCTGACTGCGTGGGATCTCGTAGATCACTGTGCGAGTCTTGCAGACGGCGGGCACTGCCTCCTCTAAACACACAACAAACCCATAAACACACAGAACAATCACGGGAGCTTTGCAACATGCATGTAAATACTTGTATGTGCTTTTTTACCAATGCTTCTCTTGCGTCTGGAGTGAGAGTTCTTGAGGTGTCTGCTGTCATACAGATGCTCCTTATGGTGGCCTTGTTTAACGTCCTCCAGAACCTCATTCTCTGCACCGAAAGAATGAAGCACAAAAGTCAACAGTGCAACATATTTTGGCTTGTAGAACAAGCTAACATCCCTCCCTCACTATTGTCAAGAAAGAGCGCCTCTTTGTGAATGTAATTGAAAAAATCAAGAAAACCCGGTCTGATTACTACTGTAAATAAAGAATAAAGGGGTCTGCCAACCTGCCAGCACACTTCATATGAAAAACTTCCTCCTTTACACACAGATCACAAAGCAAATATATGCACCGCCGGAGGACACACAGAGAAAACCCAGACTCAACAATAAGATGTTTGGAAAGGATTGCGTCGGTGAAAATGCTTTAAGGACAGCAGGATTGTTAGCCTGACCAAAGTGTGCAGTATTTAATCATGCTGTTCCGCAGAGCCATTCAGCGGGACGACGGGGGACAGAGATGCCCCTGTTGTTGCCCCCGGAAACCAGCCCAATGGAGAAGGAGGCTGGTTTTAATTCAGGGTTGAGCACCGTGGCCGACCGACCCGCTCGGCTTTTCACACAGTCGTTAGCGGAGCAACAGACCTCACAAACGCAAACACTACTTGAGCTTCAGCCTCTTTTCTCTCCCAAACACACACACGCAGAGACGCACACAAACTGAGGAATTCGACATGAATAATACATTACAGCAGCACTGGCATTCAGTCGCACTAAACTCATAAAGGCGGCATGACAACAGTATAATGGAGAGAGTCTCTTGACCTCCCTCAGGCACCAGCCACACAGACGCAGCTGTTTGCATTTCAATTACAGCGCTTATGGGCCAAATCGAATTTGAGACTCATATCGTTATGGCTGCAGCATTTCCTCATTAGATGCGCTGGAAGTTTTTATTTGAAGCACCGAGGAGATTTTAACCCTTTCGGTTGGGTCGGTAAATTCATGCTAATTCTTTGCCGTCAAAAGTTTCCAATCAGGGTCAAGTGAACCGAAACCAACCAAATCGTACTGGGCTGCCTGCCTTAAATATGATTCGTGGGGTGTGCAAAACGACATATTTTACTGCGCGAACAACTAGTCGATTTTGAAAATATGTAGTTTGCATATGTAGTTGCACACCTTTCCAGTGTAAAGGCAGCTGGGGATGACGAATTACGATTGAGAATGCAAATAAATGCAAGAAATGGGACCAGTAGCAATGCAGTATGCAAATATTGCAATGACATCATCACTGTCGGCTAGATTTTAAATTTAGATTAGATTGAATAACAAACTTTCTATAACAGATTTTTTTTTAGAACTCTGAATTCTAAAAATTTTAAAATGTAAATTTGTTCAAATACATATGGAATTTTATATTTTGTATACATTTTTATATTTAGTATTTTTAAAATGTTTAAAACAATTATCATTAATTAATAACTCAAAAATGTTAAATATCAATTATGAATATTCATATTTTAATAATAATATTTTAATGATACTAAATATGATATATATTATAAAAACTAAATTAAAAAATTACAATTATTTAAAGTAATTATAATTTAATAACGACAGTATTTAAAACAGAATTTATAAATACTGTATATCCAAAATATAAAACAAAACATATGTACACAAACAATTTATATTTTACAGGTAAAGATGTGTGTGTTCTCACCTTCACGGTCCTGTGGTGCTTTTTGGACGGGTGGCAGCGCATGTTGCTGGTGTTGCAGCAGCCCGAGCATCGTCTCACCTCCACACACGGAGGCCAGATCAGGAAGTTGGCGGCCGTGGGATCGACCTGACTGCGTGGGATCTCGTAGATCACTGTGCGAGTCTTGCAGACGGCGGGCACTGCCTCCTCTAAACACACAACAAACCCATAAACACACAGAACAATCACGGGAGCTTTGCAACATGCATGTAAATACTTGTATGTGCTTTTTTACCAATGCTTCTCTTGCGTCTGGAGTGAGAGTTCTTGAGGTGTCTGCTGTCATACAGATGCTCCTTATGGTGGCCTTGTTTAACGTCCTCCAGAACCTCATTCTCTGCACCGAAAGAATGAAGCACAAAAGTCAACAGTGCGACATATTTTGGCTTGTAGAACAAGCTAACATCCAACCCACAATCCCTCCCTCACTATTGTCAAGAAAGAGCGCCTCTTTGTGAATGTAATTGAAAAAATCAAGAAAACCCGGTCTGATTACTACTGTAAATAAAGAATAAAGGGGTCTGCCAACCTGCCAGCACACTTCATATGAAAAACTTCCTCCTTTACACACAGATCACAAAGCAAATATATGCACCGCCTGAGGACACACAGAGAAAACCTAGACTCAACAATAAGATGTTCGGAAAGGATTGTGTCATTGAAAACACTTTAAGGACATCGGGTTAGTTAGTCTGCCCAAAGTGTGCAGTATTTAATCATGCTGTTCCGCAGAGCCATTCAGCGGGACGACGGGGGACAGAGATGCCCCTGTTGTTGCCCCCGGAAACCAGCCCAAATGGAGGAGGAGGGTGGTTTTAATTCAGGGTTGAGCACTGTGGCCACCCGAACCTCTCTGCTTTTCACACAGTCGTTAGTGGATCAACAGACCTCACAAACGCAAACACTACTTGAGCTTCAGCCTCTTTTCTCTCCCAAACACACACACGCAGAGACGCACACAAACTGAGGAATTCGACATGAATAATACAATACAGCAGCATTGGCATTCAGCCGCACTCAACTCATAAAGGTGGGATGACAACAGTATAATGGAGAGAGTCTCTTGACCTCCCTCAGGCACCAGCCACACAGACGCAGCTGTTTGCATTTCAATTACAGCGCTTATGGGCCAAATCGAATTTGAGACTCATATCGTTATGGCTGCAGCATTTCCTCATTAGATGCGCTGGAAGTTTTTATTTGAAGCACCGAGGAGATTTTAACCCTTTCGGTTGGGTCGGTAAATTTATGCTAATTCTTTGCCGTCAAAAGTTTCCAATCAGGGTCAAGTGAACCGAAACCAACCAAATCGTACTGGGCTGCCTGCCTTAAATATGATTCGTGGGGTGTGCAAAACGACATATTTTACTGCGCGAACAACTAGTCGATTTTGAAAATATGTAGTTTGCATATGTAGTTGCACACCTTTCCAGTGTAAAGGCAGCTGGGGATGACGAATTACGATTGAGAATGCAAATAAATGCAAGAAATGGGACCAGTAGCAATGCAGTATGCAAATATTGCAATGACATCATCACTGTCGGCTAGATTTTAAATTTAGATTAGATTGAATAACAAACTTTCTATAACAGATTTTTTTTTAGAACTCTGAATTCTAAAAATATTTTTTTTCTTCATTTTTTTGTACACAAAACAAACACTTTATCAACAAAAAGGCTGAAATTGCTGAAAAAGTGTGAATGAATTATCGCTCAATAAACACTTCATGATTGGACTACTTTTTAATAAACGAGACAACCCCTTTAAAAACATTTAATGACATAGTTTACTGGATATTTGCATTTTCAGGGTCTAAAGGCCCGTACACACCAAGGACGATAACTATAAAGATATAGTTCTAAAAATCGTTCTCAATGTTAAAGAATAGCAGAGTCCACACCACAGCTATAACGATAAAGGCACAGAGAAACGATATCATTGGAATCACTTTCAGAGCTAATTTTTCCAGCTGATGAACGATACAAACATTGATACCCAATCAGAATCCATCCTGCTATAGCGAGCTCGAGAATTTAAAGCAGCAGATGAGCCTGCACTTAGAATAAACAGACGATATCGTTCGATGGTGTGGACGCTAATATCTTTATCTTTATAGTTATCGTTCTTGGTGTGAACGGGGCTTTACACTGATGTTGACATTGATGTATTTGATTTGGTGCCGCCAAAACATGACATCATTTACCAAGTTCAAATACTCCAGCGACGCATGTGGCGCCACGAGTTAAGGGACGGCACTGCAGTCTCTAGGCAACAAGTGCTGAGGCGTTCACTTTAAACTCGATTAAATGTCGAGGTCCATGAACTTTGAATGCAGTGAAAGATTGAGTGAGTCTCCTCTGAAAGGATATTTCTCAGAGTCTTGTTCTCCTAACAGTGTGCCTCAACGCTTTGGTGACTTGACATGTTTCACTCGTGAACAAATCAGTGTCTTGTGGTAGTTGTAGTCCTTATTTAGCAACTTGTTAGCAAGTGAGTTTTAACAAATCAGTTGAGTGAATGTTTCAATGAGTCACTCTTAACATAAACTTCTTGCCACCTATTACATTAAGATGTAACCTGCACTAAGGGCCACTAAGCAAAACCGTGAACGAATCTGAACAAATCTTTTTCCTTTTGAAAAGACTCAAAAGATTCAAATCAGTGATATGAATCACCACTAGCTGCCATTGCCTTTTAAGTTTAGGATATACAACTTACTCAACCTATACTCACTCGTCTTATCAAATAACAAGAAAAACAGCGAGACTTTACCTAAGAAGTCAATCTCCAGGATCCTCTGGAGGTCGCTGATGCTGCGGATCTCACTATTAGAGAGTCTCTCAATCAGCTCTTGCGGAATTGGTGCTTCCTGTGAAAACCCCCCCCGTCAAATTCAAATTAAGTTTGTTGTAGCTTGTCATAATATTTCATCACTGTTTCTTTTAAAAATCGATAAATCTGTTTAAAAAAAAAAAACTTCCTGACTTTATATAACTTTATAAAAATAACCAACATGCAAGAAAACAGAAAAGTCCCATTTAGACCCTCATGACTGTGTCAAGCATTAGGTTTAAAAATATCTCACATTTTCATCTTTTTGTGAAAAAAAACTAGCTTTGTGGATCAAACCCTATCAATTCTTAATAGGCTATTTATAACTCTACATACATAAATGCACAAACAATTCATTAAAAACATTGTGAATGATTAAGTGCACACGTGTGTTGAAAGTCCAGTGAACTTGATGGTTGCACCACTTGACACATTTATGTGCAGAAAATTGTCTCTCTTATTTTCAATTGTATGTAACCATGAGTGCAGATATTACATTTCTAAGAACTTTCCACATGTGTTTAAACCATTTCAGAAAATGTATTTTTCAAAAACTATGGGTTAAAAAATAGATTTTAGAACGTCCATCATCTTCGACATTCTCGTTTCTCATATACAATTAATTGATATACGAGTTTAAAACCCTTTAATTTATAATGAAGAACTGCGTAGTGACAGGCCTTACTATAAATGTTCGCTCTCTCTTTCTATTTATAAAGGAATCTCTCTCTTAAGGAAAACCCATCGTGTTCTTCTTCTTCTATCCTCAATGCATAGGTGTTTAGATGTTGATCTTACCTCAGCGGCTGCTGAAAGCAGAGAGCAGCAGAAGAGAAAGTGGATCAGCGCGGCTCTCATCTCCCCTGTGGTCCAAATGTGTCCCAGCGCAGGCGAAACCTTCCCGACCGGAGCCGCAAAGATGCTCCAACCCGCGTGGAGCCAGGGAACATGCCTTCCCACAGACAAATCTCTCAAAGGATAAACTCTTAACAAGTCCGACAAGTTCACAAACCGAGCCCTAAAATCGACTCTATGAAAGCAAACGAACTCCTTTTAATACGTTCTTGTCCTTTTAATACATTAAATTAAGTCAAACCCACAAATCAGTGCGCGAGATCATTTCGCAGAAAAAGAAAACGTGAATGAAGCGATCCTTCATCCCTTCACCGCATCAGAATTTTATTT